GAGCTCCTCCTCCGTATCCTCCACCGGGACCATCGTCCCGCTGGTCAAAGGGGTTTTGACGACCACCGTATCTATGCTCGTCTGTCAGTATTCCGCGTTCGGAGAGGTCGTACTCGTCGTCGTGTGTCCCGTCGGCTCCATGGGAGAGAGAAACATACCCGTACTGCGCCATTATGTTAGTTTTCTTCGACGGATATCGGTGGCAGGAAGAACAGTCGGGTCAATTAGGTAAGGAGAGGTAGGATGGATGAAAGGGTGAAAGAAAGCGTCAATCGCCAACAAGGAAGAGCAGTCGAAATGGGCAAATGCAACGCAACCAGGCTGAAGCAAGTATGATGATGTGCAAAGAAGGTTGGTGATCGCAGGAAGTCAAAGTTTGCGATGTTGCGGCTTTACGAAGAGTGTGTGGACAGCGCAACGGGAACGGGATCGGGAACGGGTGGACTTTCTCGACTTCGAGAAGGGAAGGGCAGCGCAGCAACGTGCGATTGACAAGAGGACGACAGGACGTAATGCAACGTCGGTAGGGCAGGGCAGCGTGCAAAGTGAGGGTAGAGCAAGGCGAGGACGGGCGGGCGAAACACCGGAAGTGCGAGGGTTGGGGTGAAACACTGACACTCATGTTGCTTCTGCGAAGCGCGAAGGCTTCTTCCTTGCGCGACGATGATGCGAGTTTGGTAGACGCTCAGGGGCGAATGCAATGTATTGTAGTATTGCTTTGTTGGGTGAACGTCGTCGTCGTCTCGCGCGCGGTGGCTTTGGTGGGAAGGAAGATGTGTAAGGCCTTTTTATTTGATGTTTTGTTGATTGTGGCAGAAAAAGAAGCAAGTTGAGTACGGGTAGAAAGGGCGAAGAGAAGAAGGGGGGGCGGCGGATGAGATGAATTGGCGTTGCGGTTGTAGCGTCGAAAGTGACGGTGTGGTCAAGTCCAGGTCCAGGTCCAGGTGCGACTTTCACACAGGAGTCACTCTCAGGCTTGGACGACAGAAGTCTCAGGCTCGTTTTTTCTGGGTCAATGGTCGACTGGAGGGGAGATGAAGCGAGACGAGGCGAATGGGCCACAATCCACAATTGCACAGGGCCTTGAACGCAGGAACGTGGGCGTCAAGCGTGTGGCTTGAAGCGCTTCTTTGTAGCAGAAGTTCGAATTGTCTGTTCGGGACGGGGGCGCGGTGCTTGGGGTGCCCCTGGCTTGCGGAACGATCGCCGTTTAGGTAGCTTTCTGGCTCCAGTAGGAGAGATGATTGGAGGGGCCCCGGCTTATTGGCAACAACCACTCTACGGAGTAGAGAGCTTGTGTGTATGTGAGTGTGCTCAGTTGTTTTTTTATTTAAACTGGGTTGACGAAAGGGCCGTTCCTTTTTTTTAGTGTTTTTCTCGCCTGGGGTGAGTGTGTGTCTGTGAGATTGTGATTTCGTCGTTCGTCAACGGCGTCGTCGTCTTAGTGTCGGATGAGTAAGTTACAATACACACTCTTCCCAAAGAATGAGTGAGTGGGTGAGTGAGTGATGATAGTGAGAGTGAGACTGAGATTTGAGTGTGAGTGTATTCGTGGATGGGCGGGCTTGGCGAGGTACCTGCATGCGACGAAAAAAGGTCCCAATCGAGGCAGGGGCCGACGATGCAACGCGAGGGAAAGGGGGGGGGCACGTCGTTGTCTGTCACTCTCTCACCCACTGTTGGCTGTGGTGACACTGGCACACTGGTGAGGTGAGAAAACCTGAAAAAAAGCTGTGTTCAGGGCTGTGTGAGACTGCCTTAATTGTGCGTGAGAATGTGAGAACGTGAGTGAGTCTGGGCTGTCTCGACTCAGGCGGATGCGGTCGGCGGCAGGTGATTGGTCGAGGAGCGTCGAGGACTGGACCCTGAAGCTTGGACTTCTTGCCTTCTCTTCTTCGGGTGCGCTGTAACTGTAACAGGCGGCGGGCGATGAATGGAGGCGAATAAACTTGAGGCGCTGGCGGGAGATGGTCCAATGCCGGCTTCCTAAAATTAATGCGACTTTCTTTAAGATTGTCTGATGTTGGTGGTATTGGCTCGATGAATGCTCCGATCAAGTGTTCGCTGGCCGGTCGGTGCTGCTGCTGACTGAAGCAATACCTCCTTTTTCCACCCTGCTTATTCTGGAATTGGCTTCGAATGTGCAACTTGCTCCCTTATGCTTTCAAAGCGTCGCTGACTGTCCGTTCGTGCCACTCTCAGGACTCTCGAAAAAGGCTAACCTTGAATTTGGTGAAGGGGGCTGCCTCCTCTGATGATGCGGCGGGCCTCGTTCTGGTGGCTTGTGACGACCCGTTCAGAGGCGATTACGATGGAGTGTCGAAGGCTAGAGGTCGACAGGGATTTTGACGACGGGAGTTGTGAGCCAATCGAAATGGTTCCCTCTGAATCCAAAAAGAGTCCACACAAATGTGTATCGTGTCTCCTCTTTCTCTTGGTGGTGGTGGTGGCAGTGGTTTCAACTGCACCCAGCTCGACTGCGTTTCGTTGGCTGGTAAGAATAGAAGCAGCCAAAGCCAAAGCCAAATAGGTAGCGGCAGGCTTAGCTACTGTAGCTACTCGCCTCTCCTCGTCGTTCGTGGCGTCAGTTTGTGAGGTTGCAGCGCAATGGTTGCGAAATGCCAATCAAGCGTTCGACGATCCAGATCTCTCCACCTCGTGTTTCTTTTGCTGCCGTCTTCCCGTTTCTCGTTTCCCCGCTTTTTCTTTTGTTCTGCCTCCGCGAACACGGGATTTTCTTGTGGGTTGCAGTCGAATAAACCTGCCGGGGCAACCTGCTGGAGCGGCAATGTCGATCAATTCCACAGCAGCCGTTCTGAACCTGTCGCTAGGGTCACAGGCAATCGAGTCTGTGGCTGGTCGAAGAAATGACGCCGATGATCGAGTTTAGTGGTGTTTAGGTACTTTTTGGTACGATGCCTGTGAGAAGGTCGATGGGCCTTTCGTAGTAAGGTACTGCAGGTATCAAAAAACAAGCAACACCAAGCAATAGAATTGGAAAATTGCGAAGAAAGGTTCACGACCACAACCGCGAACCGGATAACGGGGATTTCAGCCTCTTAAACAGCTCCTAATCATCCCATCGCCCATCAACTCTAGGGAATTATCGATCCTTCCGGCCACTTTTCAACAACACCACCACCCCGCTCGCTCGCTTCTCAGCTTACGGTCTCGGAAGCGCGAAACTAACACATGCAACTGCAAGCCTCTTTTCCCCCTCCCTCACCCCTTCCTGTCTACGGCTGAGCTCTTTAGTCTCGTCTAGCGAGGGAGAAAGCAAAAACGGGCTTTCGGACTGCCTCGGGCTACTCTTTTTGGTTGCGGATTCTGCGGCGTGTAGTCGTGTCAGGAACACTCACTCACTCAACCCAAAGCTGCCTGCCCCCTCCCCCCGGCAAGGCCTCATCTTCCTTCGCCCCAATTAGACTCGGTTCCATGCAAGCCGTAAGCTCGCCATCAGCAGGCTGGGACAAGTTCAGCTTACCTACCGAGACAAGTCGGACTAGCAGCGTCATCCTACTATCCACTTCTTCAAAGCCTTCCATTCCTCCAAGCAAGGCCAGCAATCGGCGAATAGCTGCCTAACGGCTTCCTATGGAGAATTCCAACAAGAACAACTTTGGCAAAGTGCCAAGACCCCATCCACCGCCTCACACAGAGACAAGAGATCCATGAATTATAGACACAGAGAAAGAGGGGAATAACAAGACTCACTCAGCTCGCCAAGGAACCCAGCTGTAGAAAAGCCATCTAGCTTTTGACTTTTCGGCAACCCATCAACACAGCCTTCTCTTCTACGATCCGTAAGCCATCCCGCCGCCGGCTCGTTCTTGTGAACCAATCCGCATCCTACAGCACCTTCAGCCCCAGGATGACCATCCTCCGTTCTCCCTTGGAACCTCTCGGTTGATCACCCAGCAAAGAATTGGACTAGTCGAGATCTGGCTTATTTGGCTTCCGCAAAACTCTCCTCGCCGTCATCAACGGGGAATATCCTTCTCACATGATCACGGGCCGTTCAGAACATAAGAGAAGAAAAAAAGTCAATGACACTCCAGGCATTTCTTGGCTTCACAAGCAAACTGCCATATCGACTGCCATATCGCGCGGGGTTCATGTCCAAGAGAATCTGGATTTCACTCGGCAACCTTGCCGAACGACAACAAGAGCTTGGGAATCCAAACCCCCCCTCCTCACGTTTGAACAACAAGCTTTTTGGCCCTTCACATTCCAGCAGTAACACCTAGCTGGCACTGAGTAAAACCAGGCTTGGCTGCCAAAAGTGTCCGCAATGCGTTCCGCTTTGGGCGGAAGCTGACACCGCACCCACACCCACAAACCCACCGCCTCTGCCTCCCTTAGCGCCGCACCGCCAGCCGGTTCCAGGAAGACCGTAGGGCTGTGCTACCGAACGGCCCCAGGATTGACCCTCTCTCTCTCGCTGGAATCTCAGTGGTATCCGCATCTACATCATCCCGAATCGGGCGGGGGGGAGGAAGGTGGAGGTGGAAGGGGAGGGGGGAATCGAGACAAACGGCGGCCCTCCCTTCCGCTTCGTCGGTCCGCACAACATTCATGCTTTCGTCCGCAACAGGCCCGTTAGTTTAGTCGTGGCCTACTCGTCAGCAACATCAGACCTCGAGGATTTATGCATACCTACTGATATCTCCCTCCTCCCCAAGCATTACTCATCCAGCATTGAAGCCATCTGGTCACCTGGCTTCTGGGCCCGTGTCTTTGACCACCGGCACTTGGGACGGTGTTGTCAATGGTCTCCAATTCTAGAGCTACCAGAAGCTGAAGAAGCTTCTTTGCTTAATATCTCTCCCTCTGCTTTGGGAAATGATGTGAAACTCGTGTCTAAGCTATCAAAACTCCTCTTGTCACGCCCGAACTCTCTCGGCCTTCGCCCGGCTGCTATGAAATTGATACAGAAAAACGTCTCTTCCTCTTCCCTCGCCCTATCTTCCATTATCAACGCCGTAACCACCCGTCTGCGTTTATACCACTGCGTAAGCGGATACGTAGCTGACGCTGGAGTCCCTCGGGCGCGTTACTAGGGTGCTGCGATTGTATTGGATGAACGTGAACCGGTGGTCGCCCAGCTCTTCGAGCGCCGCCATTGTCACTCCGATCGGGTGTCTTCCGCACACCGTGTTCTTGGTCTGCTTGAGGTTGTCGTAGAAGCTGTTGTGTTTTCCCGTCTTTATGGCCTCGATCGCTAGGTCATCCACCATTTTGATCGTCTCGTGGATAGGTGGTCCGTCAGGCTTGGGACCATACTCGTGTAGCCTCTCCTTGCTATCGAGCGTCCCGTCTGGACAGTAAATTGTGTAGTCAAAATGGCCACCCCAGTGGCAGAAATCAGAACTGACGATGAACGCGTTCTCGGGGTCCTTGATATACTCGGCAAGCCACTTGCCCACCTCTTTCTCTTCGGCCTTGTTGTTATCGCCGATGAGGATCGGCACGACGGGCGGGAAGTTCTCGGGCGAGCCGAAAGTTTGTTCTAGTCGAATCCACAGATATGGCAAATGCATTTCTAGCGAGTGCTCTTTGATATCGTTCCGCGTTGGGATCGCGGGTATTTCGAGCTCGTCGAGGAGGCGGGCTGTGACCTTCTCGTCTACCCTGAGGTCTCCCCATGGCGTGCCGTAGTTTTGATACTTGCTGACTGCGCAGCCCGTAAGGTAGAACGTATGAGAAGGCCCGAGAAGGAATACGCGCTTGGCCTTGCTGAGGTCGAGGGCCTTATAGGCCCAAGCTGCCGTAGCACCCGAGTATGTGTAGCCGGCATGGCTAGACCCATCACAGTTCAGCAAATTTGCCATCAGAGGTTGTAAACCAAGGTGAAGGGAGTGAACAGAGAGGTGTCGAACTCACGGGGCAATGATAATTCGAGCACCAGGGACCGGCAGGTCATTGCCCTCAATCTGATCGGGCACGTCAGAGAGGAAGTCGTTGAGCTGCTCCCTGAGTTCTGTTGGTTCGTCTAAATACCAGGAACCTGCCTTTTCCTGAGGTCGGGTGTCTACTGATGCCATTGTCCGATTGTCCGATGTGAATGCCCTTCGGTCGAGGAGAGTTATGAGTGAGCGAGCCTCCGTAAGATATAAAGGGGAGGGAAACCAAATGACAGTTACGTCTTGATTTGGGAATGTCAGCAAGACAGAGAAGGAGAGCTCAAGGGCTTTGGGCGATAAGGTGACGTGCCACCTGCCCCGCACTTGTAGTAGCTCCAGCGAGCTTCGTGCCTACTCCACCGGCAGCGGCAGTCAGCTCTGGAGGGGCCGGCGAGGGGTAGGTATGTTGTCCCACCATGATGCATATGTAACCCGGGCATACCTTTAGTGTCCGTACCTGGGGCCGACAGAACTGAGAGCATACGACGCCGGGCCCCCCTCCCCCCTTTTCTTATATCTCTGATGGCAACATACAGGATCGTTGCCAAAGCTGTATCAGATCGATACTGAGAATTTATGCCTCAACCCAACTACCAGGCATGACTTGTCTTGGCCGATCAACAAGTTTCCAAAACTCGGCGGCAAATACCTCGAACTCCGGCGCCCACCACAGCCGCCAGTCTCTCAGCTTCGGCCCGTAATCGAAGCCAATCACGCGGATGGGAATCCAGTAAAGATCACTCTTTGGATGGATTTCGTCCACATGTTCCATCCATGATTCTCTAGTCTTGAGAGAGTTCCGCACATGCCTTCGTGAGTCGGCAATAGCACCAGCGCCGAACGCTCCTCTTAGGTCGGCGGAGGTGGTTGAGTTGAGTATTCGAGTCTCGTCTCTGCCATACTGCAACAGATCGACACCGACACTTCGAAGATCTCTCAGCCACTGTCTCAAAACCGTCCGGAAGATTTCGTCCCACTCATCCCATGGGAGTCCGGGTGAAATGCGGCAGAGAGCCCCGCCTATGACTGAGAGCAGAGGTGTGCCTGTCCAGACTGGAACGCGGTACCAGTCCCAAGGAACCACGGTCTCTACTCCGTGAAAGTGCTCTGGATTCGCGACCCTGAGAGTATCGGTGAATGCGTATCTCCAGCCTCCATTGTACGGATGGTAACGGACCATGAACTTCCTCTCAAATTCGTACTCGTCTCCATCTTCGTCGGCTTCGTCATCTTCACGACCAATGATGTCCCCATACAACATCTCTTCCGCTAATTTCTTCCCCAGCGCGGTAGCGGCTGAATGAACCAGCGAGAACCCGACTTCCACAGACCCGCTCACATCCTCGGACGTCACTGTCAAGTCTTGTCTCAGCAGTCCTCTGTAAGTGTAATCTGTCTGCGCCGTGAAAACACCCAGACGAACGGCTTCTACGCGTTCTCGAAGTGGTAATTGGTAGTAATCTTGAAGAAACTCACGTTGGAAGACGCGCAACCAGTCGTCGTTGTACGTATTTTCTGCCACAAAGTCGAACATGCGCTCCATATTGATGGTTGGTACATTTGCGATGCGGGACTGAAAGAGAGAAATGAGATTGAGGTGCTTTTCGCTGGCTTGGTCTTGTAGATTTTTCCTGTTCCGGACCAATACCGTGAGAGGGCTTCTGTTGTGATGCTGGTTAGAAACAGCGTTACTCGGAATACAAGGTAGTCTCACTCCCATGATCCGCCATCATCATCAATGAGATCTTCCAGGCCAAGGTCTAAAAGCGTCCGACATACTTCAACTTGCTCGGAAAATGTGGCATGCTGCAACAAAATGTCAACTTCAAGAGGGCACTTGGATGTGGAGGCTTCAAACTGACATATAACAGAGACGAGCCGTTCTCGTCTCTATCGAGCGGCGATGCGTCGCCTTTGCTAAACATGGCCATCATACTTCCTACTTTACCCCTCTTCGCGGCAACAAAGATGTCGCTGTCGCTTGGCCTGACGCTGAAAGACCGCAGACTCTGCTGCCACCCACAAGTCATACTCCAACTGATCTGTATCTGCCAAACAGCTCGGGATATCCAAGCTGGGAACTGGACGGATAGACTCCATTCGCTGTGTTCTCTCGAACAGATGGCCGCGAGCTGGCCCCTCGCATGTGGTCGATATGACGGCAGTTTCGCTCCCGCCCAGGCTGATTTTGACCTGACAATGACGTACTGTTGACTTTCTTTCTCTTTTTCGCGATTGACTTCCGGTCTTTGCAGTTGTTTCACCAGTCTCTCTAGTTGTTCTGACATATCGTGCGATACTTTCTGTGCAATCCTTTCCTCGCTTACCTCGTGTAGCTTCCTCTGACTCTTGACAACCTTCGCCGCCATCTTCTCAGCTGTTCTGTCGTGAGATGCTTGTATCATCGCCCTGTAACACAAAGAAGTTAGCAAATTCTATCGAATCTTGAATGCGACTTCACCAAGCCGCCGTTTACTAACCTCTCATAAGACCCAACACACATAAGAACCATCCCAACCGCCGAATCTAGCCTCCGCTCCAACTTAACCACATCATCACGTTTCAACCCAGCCCACGCAAGTCTCATCTTTCGTTTCGCACGACCGTGAAGACTCGCTTTTAGCGGTTTATGCGTAGCAGTCTGTAACTTATCGACCATGTCCTTGAGAGCGTGGTGCGCCTTAGTGGCGTATGCAACGCATGCCTTCGCGTGTCGAGCCGGTACTTGGAGACTCGGATCCGGGCCGCCGTAGTCGTCACCTTCGGAGCTGGAAATCATGGTGAACATGTCTTCCAGGACGGGACCCAGAGCTTCGAGGCGGTCGACGGCGTCTTGGATGTCTACGGGGAGATCTTCGATCGAGTGCCAGAGATGGACGGCTTTGGAGATGCCTATGCACAGCTGGCCCAGGGCTATGCCGCTGGCAGCGGCACCGATAGCTTCCATTAGAACACCAAATGTAGCGGCCAGACGTGTTGTCTAGCTTTTTCAGGAAGACATGAGAGAAATGACACGGGGAACTTCCCATCTATGCAAATATCGACGGCTCTTAGCAGCGACGACACGTAAAATGAAGGAATCATGAAGACAGGAAAGCCTTTCGAAAGTGTCTACAACTGCTCGAGGAAGAGAAAAAGAACCAGCTATCCAACACTGATCAACTGAGGCCAGGGGATCGAGAGGGCTCCCATCCTACACCTCTGCCATAGCCCTGCGGCACAGTAACGGGTGCGGGACGGCCCTGTTGCCTCGGCGGCAAACCTGCATGATTCGACAGGGGTAGTAACCACTGAAGACCAGAGGCATGCGAATCGGCCGTTTTCGCGACCCAACCAACAGAATTCGGAGATAGACGGAATCTCGTCGCAGAATTCCTTACTTGAACTAGGCAAGAATCAGCTCCCCTATGCAGCTGTTCCGCTGATGGTCACACATTATTATGAGGCACCAGCTGCCGAGAGATCTTGATAGCCTTGGGCTTTACAATGGCTTGCAGTGGTCAAACAAGAGGAGCAACACGAAAGGTGCTGAGTTATCGTATGGGACAATGTTGTAGATCGCCATCTTGTTCTCTTTTTCTACTGAATATTGAAGGCTACATAGGCGCTTGAACTCTACGATACTCAGACCAAATCAACGGGAGAGGCTCCTTCGTTTCCCAGTACCATAGCCGGTTCCATTCATCATAGTCATCCTCATCTTCCCAACTACCCGGGATCTTCAGTTCGAGTTCTTTCTGCTAGACCATTGCCCAAAAGTCGCCTGCATACTCCTCATGCCCATCAGCCCACCAAAGCCTCCAGTTTTCCCTCGCTGGACCAAAAGTAATACCAATGAGATGGAGGTGGATGGGCCGGCTCATATGTGATCCTGAGATGAACCATGAATGTTGAATGTGTGAGAGACCTTCTTTGTAGAGCGCTCTTTCTTTTCTCCCGTAGCTAAGAAGATCAACCTGATTCCGGGCCAGTGTATCCAGCCAAGCATCAATTCCACTGTAAAGTTGCGAATAATGCCAACCTTCTTCTTTCCTTGTTCTACGATGACACCTAGTATGCCAGTATGGAATTCTGGAAATCAACAGTGCAAAAGCGGTTCGATATTTAGTGTCGCAACACTGATTGCGTTTCTCGAGATGATGAAGACCAACAGGGTCAAGCTCGAGGGTGGTTTTGAGAAGTCCATACCATTCGATTTCGGATCTTGGTTTGCGCTCAGAGCCGCCCAGTCTTCCTACATTTTGAAGCATCATGCCTAACGCCAAGGATCTGAAGATTGAAGGACGCCCTGCCATCCTTGAACATTCGAGAATGCCAATGGTGAGGTTTTTGGTTTCTGGAAGCATGAAGCGCAACTCTTCTGAGGATGATTGATCGCCGGAACTGACTATTCGCCAGAAATGCTGCAGCCTTTTATCGAATGAAAAGGATTGATAACGGTGATATCCCGCATAATAGAGCAAATTTCGGAAGCCAAAATAGTTTTTAAAAAGGGTAGCATCGTCAAACGCTTTGGGGTCCTCTAGGAAATCGTCTAGACCATGACGTGACATTTTGGCCAGGGCCGTGGATACTCTCTCGAAGCTAAATCTCTCTGGGAAAAAATTCGCCCCGTATAGACACAGTATGGGCCATGGGTATGAAGTCAAGTTATCTCTATTTAGGGGCTGTTAGAGGATTTTGTCTTTGATGCTAGGTAGAGAAGAAGAGAAGAGAAGAGAAGAAAATTGACTCACCTTACTCCAGCGGAATTTTCAAGCACGACTGCCCCTAGACCGCAATCTAGCAGCGCTTGAACCAATGTGCAAGACCCGGAGCTGAATGCAAGCTATGCGCCATGTTAATTGCAAACTCAGTCTTGTGAATCGCTGAAGAGAACAGGAAAGTTACCTGCAGTAAATGATCACCCGACTGGTCGCGAATGAAAGGGGTCATTTTTCGATCATCCAGATATCTGAAAACCGCAGGAGCGTCGTCTTCCCTGATTATTTCACGCAATTCTTTTCCAAAAGATTTCACGACTTCGTAAGATCTAAGGCTCAGCTGCCATCCCCATAGGCTTCTCTGTGCCAGGACGGAACAAACCGATCCCGTAAGCCAGCTTGGTGGCTGCGCATGTAGCTGAAAACCAAAACTTGATTTATTCCAAGATAGACCTAGTCTGCCGATAATGGTTGATTTGTGAGGAAAACTCAAGGTCCTCTGTGCTTTGGTAACAGCACGTCCGTCGGTCCTTGTGTTATTATCGCTCGCAATGTCATGGGCTTCATCCAGACTTGCTACTTTTTCCTGGGGCATCTGAATTGACCTTATGTCAGATGACTGCTGAAGCTGCACCATTAATGAGTAGGACATCAGTGACCTATAGTGATGGCCATTAGTTGCATAGCAAAATGACGTGAAGGAGAAACAGCATACGTGAGGTATTGCTCCCGCGCTAATTTGAACAGCTCTAATGCCAAATTGAGCTTCAAGTCCAATGCAGAAAGGTCCTCCTTTCGAAGAACAGCCTTTGTCGACGCCAGCCTTCTCTTGAACTTTCGTGGATCCGTGACCTGAATATACAGCTGGTCGACCATCTCCTGCAGGTCCTTCAACACAGCCCGGGTTCTAGTGATGTACTTTTGCAAAAGAGCGCTGTTCCAAGCTCGTTGGGGCAGGGGACTGTTGGCAGCCTGACTCTCTGTTTCTAGAAGAAAGTCTTCAAAGTCCCTGAGCCGCTCGGCCTTCTCAAGCAGCTCATGTGGAACATTTTTGATCTCTTTCCACAGGTTGACGAGCTTGATCGAGGCTCCTGCAACTTTTGCCGTCAAGTCGACGACAGCGATGACGCTTGAAGCTAGCCCGAGGGCTTCGGCCATCGTAAGTGATGCCTCTCTTTCTGAGAAACTTGTTGGTTGTGTGAAATAGTAGTGAAGATGGTAGTTGCGTCGTGAGATGAGAAGAAAGGCAAAGATTAGTAAAAGTTTGGCTGAGGGTGAGAACGCAATGGTAAGAAAATGAGGGGAACGTCCGAGGGATTATGATCTTCGTATTGATGGGGCTGTGCCGTAGTTATTGGCTGAATCAGGGCGGCTATCCTATGCGACCGGTTGGTCTGAATGCTGCTCATGTTGGTTCGCATGTTGGTTGCCTGCATGAATGGCTAAAGCTGACTGGTAGTGGTTCGGGATACCTGCAGAGCATACCTTGTCATGCTTTGCGTACAAGGAATTGCTCGCAGTACGGATAAACTAGGGATCAGTCTTTTGTAGCCTGAGGAAACGTAAGGTCAGGTAGGATGACGTTATTTTGGCGTCCGGACCTACTGCTGACGGATTGCCGCCTCTATCCGAGAATGTCCGGACCCGGGTGCTCCACAGCGGCCCGGGTGGATATATCCTTCAGGATACCGCCGGCGTGAGTCACCCCACAGTTGAGCCCGAAACAACATCTCTTGGGAGTTGCCGCGCTGGTGCGGTTGGATTTCCTCAAATGCCTTGGCATTCGACAACTGATACCCCGTACGGCTAAGCTCCTATTTTGCAACGAGCATACGACAGTCTCCATGTAGCAGTCATACACATTAACGATTGAAACCGTTCGGATTTCAGCCATGGAAACCGCCAGCGAAAATACTCAGTTCGACAACATAGTCGTCGTCGAACCGACACCAACGCCATCAAATATAATCGCAACAACATACCACTCCGTAATCGAATCCACAACATACAGCAATCTCCCAGCAGTCATCAAAATATTCAACTTTCCCGAAAACCCAAGAACCCACCACCGCTGGCGCAAAGAAGTCGAAGCCCTCAACCTCGCCAGAGGTCACGTACGTACCATTCTACACCTACCTACCGACCATTCATCGAAATCTTCCCTCATCTCACCTCTACACTCCTTAAAACATAACCTACTGCCACCTAAACTCACTTCCATCCCAACTTACACGCCCAACAGCCAAACATATCTAAAATCCTAACCTCAACCCCCTCCCCACCAACAATAACCCTCCGCCACGAAGCCGGCCTCAGCCTCGAAAAATACATCAGCCCGCAAACCTTCCACTGTACGCTCTCCCACTCCGACGCCCTCGCAATCTGGTCCCAAATCGCATCAGCCCTATCCCACCTGCACTCAACTTGCAACATAATCCACGACGACGTCAAACCAGAAAACATAATCTTCTTCTCCCCCTCCCATCATCCTCCACCCCCCTCTTCCCATTCTTCCCCTGACAAAGGCGATCACCAACCCCCCCACGCAGTCCTCCTCGACTTCGGCGCCGCCGCCCTCATCAAAAACACCTGGACCTGGACCCCCTCCGGCACACCCCCCTACGCACCCCCCGAATACCTCCACCGCCACAAATCCCACGCCTCCGACGTCTGGGGGCTAGGCGTCACCCTCCTCTTCTGCTTCGGATACATCCCGCTGCCCACAGGCTCCTGGATCCTGCCCCACGTGTTCGAAGACGAAGATGTCAAGCAAGAAATGGTGGCGTGGTTGGATGAGATCGAGGAGCTGAGGACGTCGTTGAGCGGTAGTGGGGTTGCTGAGAAGGTGTTGCTGGGTAGGATGTTGGAGAGCGATCCGGGGATGAGGATTGGGAGTGGGGAGATTGTGGAGGTTCTTGGGTCGTGATGTTTACGAGGAGGTGGGAGTCGTGATGAGGGTCAAGAGTAAGACAAGATCTAAATCTATCGTCCTTCCCGATATATCAAGATGAATATATCGTCATAAACCACACAATCCGCTCGAGTCACTCCACGGCACGCACCACCTCCCGTCTCCCCATGCATACATACGTACATCCATCCATCTACCTACCCCCTCACACCGTCCCAGCCCTCCGGAAACCTTCATCCCAGACATCCAATCCTTTCTTTTTTTTTTCTTTTTTTTTTTTCCAACTCTTACCCCCCTTTTCCTACATACCCATTTGTACACTCACCGACCCCAAAAAGCAGGTCCAATCCCAGATCACCTAATCCAGCACATCCCCGTAACCTTCAACACTCTCACACCATGCCCAGATCTCGGAAACTCTAATATTGCGTAAACAAAGAAAATCACCCGCATACCTACACACTGCCAGACGTTGACGAGTACCCCTTACCCATGCTCACCGGATCAGACTCCGAACTCCCCCCCCCTCCCCCCTCCCCCTCCCATCCCCTCCTAAATTCGGTCATCCCATCCACGGCACGCTCGGATACCTAACCTTCCACCACCAACAAAAAGGTCTAGATCCGATCTACATAAACTCTCACTCGGTTTCGCTTCGCTTCCAAAGGCAGACAGGCATCATTCCGTGAGAAAACAGCGAAGAAAACAGGAGAAGGAAAAAAAAAAAAAAAAGGGTGAGGACCCAATACCTTTATACAACACCGTAACCTATTTCAAAATCAAATCAGAGACATGAGAGACTTGAAGAAACAAAAACATTTAAATTCAGTTGTATCAAGTTTCGATTTTCTGTCATTATAGACTAGAGTTGTACTAAAATAAAGAACAAACCTGGGCTCGTAAGCAGCAGGCAGACAGAATGTCATCAAAGGACCCCTTCGACTCCCGCCCCCCTCCCATTCTATCAGTTTCCGAATATGTATAACCACAACCACGTCAACCGCGTTTTTTGTTTTCAGGGTTCCGATTCTTCCATTGCTTCATCAAAATCCAACCCCCTCCCTGTGCGCCGATCGAAATGCCAAGATGCAACATGACCTATTCGCGTGGCCCCCCTCCCCAGCGTTTCATCCTTCCCGATTTCTCTGCTTCCATATGTACGACTCTTCGTGTTACGTTTGTAAGCATAAATGCAGTGACCGGGCGCCATGCACCTCGCTGTGGTAGTAAGTGTCTCTTCCCCCTGGGAAGCACTTGGAAAAAAGTAGGATGCTGTGAGAACTCCCCAATGTCTATGACCTCCGCTTGTGTTCCTCCATTTCCAACTTTTCCACGTTTTCCTCCGTCAGGGAATCGCCGGCCACCACCGTCTGGAAGGATTCTCCCCGTCGAGGGAGCTTCTTCCCCCCCGCGGCTTCCATTAGCTTGCCTTGCTGTGCTTGCAGTGCAAGTTCATCAGTCTCGGAGCGCCTTATCGGCTTGATGGAGTCCGCCACATTTGGAGAGTCGAATGGTGACGGCTCATACGAGTTGTTCCTGGTAAGAGGCCTGGGTGTCACCGGATCGCCCCGACTTTCACGATCCGTCTCCTGGCTTTGCTCTCGTTGGCGGCTCGAAGGCGCCACGGCCTCTGTTGAATCGGGAGGCGTAGGATCAGGATGATCATGTGCTACGCCGGGAATGTCGGCGTTGCTGCAGTGCGCAGCGGTATCTGAGCAATCGGACATGGAGCCATCTGATTCCTTGTATTTTGTGTGTTGCGACCTCTTCATCAAGCTCCATCGGACAAGCATCCTTTCCAACGTCTTGCTCTTGACTGGCTTAGCAAGATAATCGTCCATTCCTGCTCGGGTGCATTTCTCCTTGTCGCCTTGAATCGCCGATGCCGTCATCGCCACAATCGGTACATCTTGTACATAGGTCTTGTACGGTAGGTGGTGGCGCAGGAGATGCGTACACTTGTAGCCGTCAATGACTGGCATTTGCACGTCCATCAGAATGATATCCGGCTTGCTGTGCTTGCCTTGCTGAGCTGCCGACATGTATTCGAGGGCGTCTTTTCCGTTCCATGCTGCTGTTACCGTGAAGCCAAGTTTCATGATCGTCTTGGTTGCAATTTGCTGGTTGATGGCACTAGAAAATCGTTAGCATGGGCCGTAACGTGGCCAATAGAAATCGAGACTCACTTATCCTCGACGACAAGAACGCGGATTTTGGCACGTTCAGCATGTGGCAACAACTCCTCGTCGGAAGCCGGCGGTGTCCGTACTGAGAGTCGTCGTGACGGAGACTTATGTTTATCCGTTAGGAATTGCGAGGACTCTCCAGATGCGGGAGGCGTGTTCAAAAGCTGTTCAAACTCAGAACTGTGGCAAGAGACGCTCATTTCAGACTGTAACCTGTCTGGAAGAGAACCGATTTCGACAAGCGGCGCCCTTTGGTTCTGGGGCTTGCTGAAGGGGACCCAGAACGTTGCCACTGTTCCGTTGCCCAGGGCGGATTCCAGCGTTATCTCTCCATGCATCAACTCGAGGAGGTTCTTGCAAATCGTCAGACCCAAACCTGTGCCGCCAAATTTTCTTGCTGTTGAGGCATCTCCCTGGCTAAAGGGTTGGAACAGCTTCTTCCGCACCTCCTCCTCGATTCCGATACCGCTGTCTTCGACGATGAATTTGACGACGATGCTATCCGACGTCTCCTTCTCCTTCTGTACCGAAAACTTGACGTAACCTTGGTTGGTAAATTTGATACTGTTGGTCAAAAGATTCGTAATGATCTGGCGTACGCGACCTGGGTCACCGATGACAACCAGATCATTTTCGATTTCTTTGGATATATCGGATCGAAAGTCCAGGTTCTTTCGCTCCGCAGCAAAACTCAGCATTTTCCTGACATCCGTGACAATCACTGAAAGCGAGAACTGGACTTCTTCAATGTCAAGACGTCCGGATTCGACCTTTGAGAAATCGAGGATATCGTTGATGACCGTCAACAGAGCATTCGCCGACCTCTGGATATTTTCAACGTATTCGGTCTGTTCGGCGTCAAGTTCCATATCCCTCAACAACTCGGCCATACCGATGACGCCAGTAATGGGCGTTCGGATCTCGTGTGACATCTATCAACTTATTAGTCCCTGATTCCATGAAATCCTATAGCACACTTCACTTACGTTGGCGAGGAACTGGCTCTTGAGCCTGTTTGCTTCCTTTGCAGCCGCCTCGTTTGCCATCGCCTGCTTCTTCTC